GACATGTCCTGGCCCAGTGGGGTGGAGGCTCTGCTAACCCAATGTCTAGCTGACCATTGGCTCCCTTGACAAGCCACGATATGGACTGAATCACGAACGATGTGAGATTTGAACAGGGCCTTGTGAGAACGATAAATGAAGAACATTGGAGGACCGACATGCCTCCTTTCTCCCAGTCTTGATCAGGCTCTGTACCCTTTGCAATCCTGCTCCCTGGCTCTGGAAGTTGTTTTCTGTCCTCACTCCTGTGGTCAGGAAGCTGTGGGTTGTTCACTGTCCGTACTCCTGTGGTCAGCACGTGAAAACTGAATAAGGTAAAAGGTGACCAGACCAGAGAAGGGCGAACCTGGTTCCCATTGACTGAGCCTAGCCAACAGACCGGTTCAAGATCGTGAGTGTTCTAGTCATGTTCTGCTGTGTGTTAACAAACCACCCCAGACTTAGCAGAGTGCAGGTTGGGTTCCCTGGGAAGCAGTCTCTGAGATGGAGAAGAAAGTGCAGGGTGTTTATTTAAAGAACTCTATTTAGAGCCAGTCACGGTGGCTCACATCTGTAATCCCAGCACTTTGGGAGGCAGAGGTGAGAGGATTGCCTGAGCCCAGGGGTTCGAGACCAACTTGGCAAGCCCTTGTCTCTACAATAAATCAAAAAGTTTAGCCGGGCATGGTGGTGCACACCTGTGGTTCCAGCTACTTGGAAGGCTGAGGTGGAAGGAACACCTAAGCCCAGCAGGTTGAGGCTGCAGCGTGCCACTGCACTCCTTCCAGCCTGGGCAACAGAATGAGACTCCTACTCAAAAAAAAAAGAAAGAAAGAAAGAAAAAAGAACTATTTAGGATCCAGACTTGGAAAAGAGGAGAAGGGAGCAGGAGTTGGCTCAAGGACAACCCCAGCTGGCCAACAGAGCGTTCTGGAGGCAGAACAACACTTGGCAATTGTCCCAGGTCGTACTGAGGTGACCTTACCTTTGTATCAAGTGTCCACAAGTTAACCTGTGGGCCAGACCCAGGTTGCCATTTATTTTTGTAAATAAAGTTTTGTTGGAACACTGACATACCCATTGATTTCCATATCATCTGTGACTCTTTCAGGCTACGTCAGTAGAGTTGAGTAGTTGTGACAGACTATACGGGCCACAAAACCTGAAATATGTAGTATCTGGCCCTTAGTAAGAGAGGTTTGCCAGTCTCTACTCATGTTCCCATACGGGTCAGCCTTTGAAGGTGAGATTTGTGGGAAAAGTTGTGACCCTGCAGCAGAAGTGAGCCCTGGAGGGGTGAGGGCAGAGGACTGTCAGCTGAACCACCCTTAGCAGCAGGGATACCAAGTCCTTCATCAAAGGGGATCCGGCACACTCTTGATGGAATTCGCCGCAGTGACCTGAAATGACTCTTCTGGGAGGACCTGGATGGGTAATATCTCTGACCTCCATGGCCCCAACTGGGCTGGAGGGTCCCCTTTCAGGGTGTCTCCTTTGATCAGTGCTCCTTGGTCAGGTATTTGACCAGTTTCTTCATGAGCATCTCTTCTTCTTGGGTTTCTCTGTGGGGCATGATGGTGTGGGATCATCACACTTCTCACCTGTCACAGGAGAGCTTCGGCAGGCCGGAACTAGAGGCTGCTGCACTGTGCAGAACCCAGAGGCGTCAGCACAGTCACTTCTGCCATATCCTGGTGGTCAAAGCAGTCACGGGGCCTACTCAGATTCAAGGGGTGAAGCCATATGTCACCCACCTCTGGAAGGAGGATGACAAGATAACAGTGCAGAGGAGCACAAGGAGGAGACACTCTTACACCACGTTTGGAAAATGCAGAGAGTCATGATGGGCCAGGTAGATGCTCGGCAATGCTGTGCCAGAGTCAGCTCGCCTAGGTCCCAGAGCTGCTGTGCACATCCCTTCCCAACTCCACAGTTGACGATATCATGTGTGTGGCTTGAGAATGCCATGGTGGAAATATACCACTTCGGGAATGGACTTTGCCCACCCAAAACCCACAGAACCCTTTTTAGCCTTCACCAGCACAGCACGGCTGCCATGGGAGGACTTCTATTTTGAAGCCACATGACAAGAAAGATGACAGCATTCACTTGAGCACCAAGAGTCCCTACAGGTCCTAGAACCTTGGGACAGCGGAAGAGGATTGGAATGGGGTCTCCTCTCTTTTGCCATCCTGCCTCACAGAGGCTGGAGCTGATAGGACAAGGAGATCGCGGATCTGCAGGATGTGAAGGTCAACAGTGAGGGGGGCGGATAGCAGTCAAAGAAGAGGGGACAGATTGCCCGGCACGGTGACTCACTCTTGTAACCCCAGCACTTTGGGAGGTGGAGGCGAGAGGATGGCCTGACCCAGCGGTTCAAGACCAGCCTGGGCAACTTGGCGAGACCTCATCTCTACAATATGGGTGGGGGGTGTGCCTGTAGTTCCAGCTACTTGGAAGGCTGAGGTGGAAGGATCACCTGAGCTCAGCAGGTTGAGGCTGGGTAGCCATAAGCATGCCATTGCACTCCAGCCTGGGCGGCAGAGTGACACACTGACTCAACAGATGAAGAGGGGACAGAGCCCCGGGCTGGGATAGTCCAGAGGTGCTTCGAGTGGGACAGTGGAGCCCCTGGAAGGACCTGGGGCCTGTACCCTACACCAGCTGTTTGCATGCTGGAAGGTTTGCTCCAACTCTAGGCAGCCAAAGCCCAGCCATTTCTCGTGGTCAAAAATAAATATTCTAAGCCGGGCTCGATGGCTCAGCCTGTAATCCCGCGCCTTTGGGAGGCTGAGGTGAG